CCCCTGCGTTGTGGGGTGGGGTGGGCTAGTGGTTAGAGTGCTGGACTAGGACTTGGGAGAGACCAGAACTCCCATGAAACTCACTGGGTGATCTCTGGGTCACTCACTGCCTTTCAGACTAGTCTACTTTGCAAGGTTGTTGTAAGGTCAAAATGGGGAGGGGGAGAAGTATGTGCCCCATGAAAAGTGGAATATAAATGCAAGAAAGAAAGAAACAGGAGACTTTGTGGGTATTTAAGTTATAATTAGAAAAATCTTAATAATTATTCATAAAGGAAAGAGGTTTATAAGAAGTAAATAAGGAGGCCAGATACAGGATAAAGGAAGTCTTTTTATTTGGTTGTTCATATTGTTGCTCATTGTATGTTACGTTCACGTTTAATGAGGGTGGATTTGTGTATTGGGGGTGGGGGTTTATGTTATGTTGTAAATAAAATTCCAATAAAAATTAAAAAAACATACATACATAAATAAATAAATAAATAAATAAGAAAGAGACCTCTTTCGGTGGCCCCGACTTTCCAGGCGGCCACTTCGCCTGGCACTTGTCTGTATGTGGAGACTGGATCAACCTCCTGCTGCCCCAAAGTTCTTCCTGGGTGGGAATCTCCTTTCTTGAATCCATTGGTCTGGGTCTTGCTCCGGAGGGTAGGACTCGAACCCACGGCTTCAAGTGACGAGAAAGGTTGATTCCCACTCCACCTCAGGAAGAGCCTTGTGAGAGTGGGAGCTGTTGGGCAGTGGCACCGGCAGGTGGTGGAGGTTTTTGAAGAGAGGTCGGATGGCTGCCTGCCGGGGATGCTTTAGCTGAGATTTCTGCCTTGCAGGGGGTTGGTCTAGAGGACCCTCAGGGGTCCCTTCTGATTCTCAGGTTTGAGATCATGATCCTGCTTTAAGCCTTGGGAGGCAGGTCTGTTTTCTGGACTTGTGTGTTGGAGGGCCTGAAATCGGGACTGGTTTTGTTGTCCCCCAAGACTCCATAACTGGTGGGCCACTGACTGCACTTGTTGAACTGGCAGCAGATTCAAGACGCATAACTCAGGGTGCCATCAGTGCCTGGCTTTAACTCGGGCATGGGAATGTCGAGTTGGAAGGGGCACCAAAGACCATGTAGCCAGTGGCGTAGCGTGGGTTGTCGGCACCCGGGGCAAGGCAAGTAATTTGCGCCCCCTAACCCGTGGATTTGCGCCCCCTAACCCATGGATTTGCCCTAACCCCAGATGTTGCGCCCGGTGCGGCCGGCCCCCCCTGCACCCCCCACGCTACGCCACTGCATGTAGCCCCCCACCCCCCAGGTCTGGCCCTGACTAGAGGCTCTCCCTGGCATTTGAGTCTTGCCCAGTTTTGCCTCTGGCTGTGGCATTCCTGTGCCCACTTGGGAGAGGCTGAGTCCTTTCACCACATGAGCTTAGCAGGGCTGTGCCAAGGGGTGTGGGGTGGGTGACCAGCCTTGATAGAGGACCCCCTCTCTGTGAGTAGGGCTGCCATGTGGCAAAGTGGGGGGAGAGCTTTCAATCACCTGGCGAACACCTCCTGAGACGGAGAGCTCCTCTTTGGGCTCTCCTGTCTCCATCCTCGCCCGCCCCCCCCCCCATCGCAGACCTGGCTGATTGGCAGCTCTGCCTTCTGCGTGGGAGGGAGTCGTGCAAAAAGGCTCCTTTTCCTCGTGCGTGTGTCACACCCCCTCCCCTCCTTGCAACTCCTTGAGGCTTTGCCGCTTGGCAGAGCTGCGGTGCCAAGGAAGGGGGTCCTTTGCCCTGGAGGCTGTGGCGAAGACGAGAGCGTCCTTGCAGAGTCAGGAGAGCACATCTTGGGGCCGCAGGGAGGTGAGATGCTCAGAGCTCACAATGGGACCCAAACCTGTTTGCCAGGGGGCCGTTGAGTGGGGAGGCTTCCAGGGATCTGATTTATCCAGAGTCAGACTACCAGTCTGTCTACATTCGACGGCAGCGATGGCTCTCAGGCAGGCAGTTTTCCCAAGCCCTCCTTGGAGATGCCGGCAGCGTAACTTGAACCCGGGACTTTATTTTGCTGGCAAGGCAGCAGGTGCCCTGGCCCTGTGCTAGGACCCTTTCCCATGGGGGTGGGTGGGCTTGGCACAGGCTGTTCTGATGGCTCCTTCTTGGGTAAGGGGCTTCGTCTTAGACCGGGTCTCTGTGATGCTCAGGGGAGATCCCAAAATGACTGTTTTGAGAGCTGAAGGAAACTGAACCCCAGATCTGTTGCTCTTTCCCAGAAAGCTGCGTTTACTTGGGGGGGGGTGTAGTGACCATTTTGCATCTGATTTGGGAAGATGTCCCCTTGTGGCAGGGGACGCGGGTGGTGCTGTGAGTTAAACCACAGAGCCTAGGACTTGCAGATCAGAAGGTCGGTGGTTCGAATCCCTGCGACGGGGTGAGCTCCCGTTGCTCGGTCCCTGCTCCTGCCAACCTAGCAGCTCGAAAGCATACCAGCGCAAGTAGATAAATAGGTACCGCTCCAGCGGGAAGGTAAACAGCGTTTCCGTGCTCTGCTCTGGTTCGCCAGAAGCGGCTTAGTTGTGCTGGCCACATGACCCAGAAGCTGTACGCCGGCTCCCTCAGCCAGTAAAGCGAGATGAGCGCCACAACCCCAGAGTCGTCCACGACTGGACCTAATGGTCAGGGGTCCCTTTACCTTTACCCCTTGTTGCAGGAGGGGGTCCCATTGGGGGCCAAATCTTCCCTTTTCTTGGGCGCTTCCTTTAGACCAGTGGTTTCCAAAGTGGGTGCTGGGATTACCTGGAGGGGGGGCGGTTCTAAGAGGCGAGGGGATGGCAGGGGGGGTCACTGGAGGGGTAAGTGTGTATTGGGCTTTGAAAAGATCATCAGTTTGGTGGAGCGTATTAATTGATTTTGAATAGATGTGCAATAAATTGCTGCTGTTTGCATTGGGTTTTTGTCTACCCTGGTTGGGTCTGCCGTTCTGAATAATGCTTCTTATGGGGTGGGGGGGCAGAGGGGGAGGAGTTTACGGGACCAAGGGGGCAGGGCCCAAAACAGTCTGGGGACAGATGTTTCCTGGAGTGTGGAATTAGCAGAGATGGCAAAACTGGCAGCTCTCATAAGAAACATCTGTAGTCTGTTTACGAAGTTACTTTCCAAATGCGAAGTACGCAGCGGGGTTCGAAGTTTAAGGGGAGAAAAATAGCAAGAACATATTAATAAACCTGTTAGAGAGGATGAAGATGGATTTGGTGGAATTGCAAGATGCAGTTGTCCGAAATGTTTATTGCAAACATCGCTGGTGGGCGAGCAGGAATTAATTAGTATTGTGGAATTTGGGATAACGATGGGTGGCGAAACGTAACTTTTAAGGTTGAAATAAAACAAAATATTATACACCCCCCCCCAAAAAAGATGCTGCAGTGAAGGTCATCCAGAGCCACTGCTCCCCATAGCCAGATTAGCCCCACACCGAGAGCAGAGGGGCAGGGAGGGCTGGGTGCCCTGAGCCTTTGTGGGCACCCTGGGGGCTGGCAGGAGCTGGCATGTGAATCTGGGTGTGTGAAAGAGCCAAGGGAGGCTGCTCTGATTCTTCCGCAGCAATCCCTGCCCACTTGCAGGGGGCATTGAGTGCCACTGTGGGTCGGATGTGGGTCAGATCTTGTTCCTAGCCTGGCAGGGGGCCGGGGGTGTGTGTGTCGTCTTCCGCCTGGGAAGGGCTGATTCCGTTTTCCCCTTGTGACTTGACTCACTTGCAGCGCATTACGTCCCTTTAGCTGCAATTCCTTTATGGCAGGGGGTTGGACACCAAAGGGGTCGCACACTTTTGGCCCTTTGGCATTCCCAGGCAGAGGGCAGACCACAACCATTGTGTGTGGGGGGGGACCCATTTCCAGAGTCCTTCCCATGGTTGCGTTGGAGGTGCCCAGACTGGAGGGTGCCCAGACTGTTGCATTCGGCTCCTGATTCATAGACTCCTAGAGTTGGAAGGGACCCCGAGGGTCATCCAGTCTGACCCCCGCAATGCAGGAATCTCGGCTCAAGCATCCCTGACAGATGGCCCTCCAGCCTCTCCTTGAAAACCTCCAAGGAAGGAGAGTCCACCTGAGGGGGACTGTGCCATTGCCAAACAGCTCTAACTGTCAGAAAATTCTTCCTAATAATAATAATAATAATAATAATAATAATTTATACCCCGCCCTCCCCAGCCACAGCCGGGTTCAGGGCAGCTAACAACAATAAAATCACAGTAAAATCTGGCGGTTCCCTCATTGCGAGAAGTGAAGTTACAGGGAACCAGGCAGAGGGCCTTCTCAGTGGTGGCACCCGCCCTGTGGAACGCCCTCCCACCAGATGTGAAGGAAATAAACAACTATCTGACTTTTAGAAGACATCTGAAGGCAGCCCTGTTCAGGGAAGTTTTAAATATTTAATGCTGTATCGGTTTTTAACACTCGATTGGGAGCTGCCCAGAATGGCTGGGGAAACTCAGCCAGATGGGCGGGGTATAAATAATAAATTATTATTATTATTATTATTATTAGGAAGGAGGGAAGAAAGAAAAAAACCACCAATTTAAAATACAGGTTAAAATGCAATTTAAAATGCATGTTTGAATCTCCTTTTTCTTGTAGTTTGAATCTTTTGGTTTGGGTCCCAGATGCGGGACTAATCTCCTTGAAGCAGCAGATGCAGTTGCCCCCTCCCCACCCTTTTGCCCTTGCCCCTACCCCCTTTGCCCCTTGTGCAGCGCCAAGGCCTGTTCCTTCTCCCACCCCATAGCTCTTGCCCTACCAACGGGTGCTGAGGGTGGGGGTCTCTGGGCTGAGTGGGGACCCTGGAAGTAGTGTGGGGACCTTTCCTTCTGCGAGTGGCCCCGGGCCCCCAGCTCACCCAGAGCCAAGGCTGTGGCTTGTTAATGATTGCCCCCCCCCAGGCCCGCGAGGGGCTCTCCCTGCCCCAGTGCGTGCGTGCCTGTTGCCCTGGATGTGGGGCTCGCTCGCCCTCTGACCGCCTCCTCTCTTCTCGCCCTTGCAGGGGGCAGGGAAACCAGGACGGATCCATCCGCAAAGGGGGGCCCTCGGCGTGCCAGCTCTCCCGCTCCCCCCGAAGCCTTTTGCACCTTGAGCCCCCCCAAGGGGACCCACCTCCCGCCTGCCGCTTCGCTCGCCATGCCGTCCAATGGGGCCGTCGACACCAGAAGCCCCTCCGCCGACCGGGAGTCAGCCGACGCTCACAAGGTAAGGGGGGGGCACAGTGGGGGCGCGCTGTGATTGGGAAGGGTGGCAGCAGGGCCAGTAACTGCCTGCAGGAGAGCTCAGTGCATGGGTCTCAGGGTCACGGGTTTGAGCCCCACGTTGGGCAAAGATATTCCTGCATTGGGGGGTTGGACTGGATGACCCTTGGGTGTCCCTTCCAACGCCAATTGCACCTGTGCAAAGTTTGTGGCCTCCGCCAGGGCCAGGGCCTTCTCAGTGATGGCTCCCACCTGGTGGAATGCTCTGTCCCAGGAGACCAGGGCCCTGCAGGATTTAACCTCCTTCCGTCGGGCCTGTAAAACGGAGCTATTCCGCCTGGCCTTTAATTTGAATTCAGCCTGATCTTTTATTTCCCTTCCCTTCTCCTTCCCCTCCCCTTTTATGAAGATTACTCGCTCTGGGATCCCACAGCTAATTCTCCCCTGGCCTCCTCGCTGGCCCAAGTAGGACCAATTCAGCCAGCTAGCCCTGGGGATTATCTAATTGATTTTTGATTTTTGAATTTTATTGTCATTAATGGTTTTTATACTGTATTTTATGCTGTTTTTATAATTAAGTGTTTTAAAGTGTTTTAAATTTGTTGTTAGCTGCCCTGAGCCTGGTTTTTGAACCAGAAAGGGCGGGGTATAAATAAAAATTTATTATTATTATTATTATTATTATTATGGGCTGGTGCGAAGAGGTCTTCTCTGTCTTCTCCAGCCTCGGGTTTAACCCAGCTCCGGTTTTTGGGGTGGGAGCGTCTGCATTACGCTGGGGTTGGACTAGATGACCCTCATGTGCCTTCCAGCTCCTTTGATTCTTTGATAATGAGATGGACAGCTTTGAAGTCTGTGGGGCAGAGGAGCAGCCTGGGCTTGGAGGGCGGCAGAGGCAGAGGAAGAGAGAGCATTATGGCATGGGCTTTGCCTTGGTTCTCAAACAGAATCCGTTCCGGAAGTCCATTCCAAAACCAAAGCATTCCAAAACCAAGGCACGCTTTCCCATAGAATGGAATGCAAAACAGATCAATCCATTCCAGACTTTTAAAAACAACCCCTAAAACAGCAATTTAACATGAATTTTACTATCTAACAAGACCATCAATCCATAAAATGAAAGAAATAATCAGCGTGCTGTACTATAAAATAAAACCGTATTGTAGATGATAAAAATTAAAATTAAAAATTTGTCATACCTGCACTGATGATAGTCATTGTTTGGATGGGGGGGGCTTTTATCCATTTCCGCAGTCACACAATCAATCAATCAATCAATCAATCAATCAGTAGCTGAACTGGATTCCGCACAGTCACAAAAACAAATGAACCGAAAAAGCCTCATAACAAAAAACGCAAAATAAATAGCAAAAACAAAAGCACCACATATAAGCTCCAAATATCAATTCAAAACAGTGCAATCGGAAACTGAAGACTTGAATTACAATGGGGGGGGGGACGCAAATTAGCAGCACAACAGGAAACACAGGGGGAAGCTAAACGGAGCATGTTCGGCTTCCGGAAAAAAGTTCGAAAACCGGACTTTTTTTTGCAGCATTTGGGTTCCAAGATGTTCTTGAACTAAGCTGTTTGGAAACCGAGGTATCACTGTAATGCTGAGCCAAAAGTGTGTGGGTGACCTCAGAGATGGAAGGGACCCCCAGGCCTCATCTAGTCTAACCCTCTGCAGGGAGCCCCTGGGGCAGATTGTGCTGCCAGAGAGAGGATCCTCTGCACATGCTCTGTTCTCTCGTGAGAGGCGGGCAAAGGCCTGGCTCAGGGGGCTGGCAGCCTGTGGGCGTTAGAAGAAGCCTCCGCTGAGTTCTCAGAAAGGCCCAGGGAGAGGGAAGACGGACGGGTGCCTTTTATTTCTGCGACACGTTCCATTCACACAAATCCCAAAGCGTCTTGCAAACATTGTTAAGTACAGCATAAACCGTGCGCTATAATTAACAGCACATCAAAAAAGCAGTTACAATCTTTGAAACGCTTTTGGCAAACCGGCAATTAAAAATATGTTTTATTTCATACAATTTATATACCACTGATTGGTTAAAAAAAAGGGGGGGGAAGACCCAAAAACCTCCCAAGTGGTTTAAAGAAAGCATTAACACGATCAATAAACCTCTCTCTCTCTCTTTTTTGAATTTGCATTTTATTTATTTGTTAACATTTTTATATTACATCGGTAAACGTTGTCATATTACATTACAGGACTTACAATAATATAATTCCCAACATGTATACAAAAATTATATACAAATTTTATATACCTAGAAAGAAAATGAAACAAAAAAGAAAGAACAAAGAGAAAAAACAAAAACAAATCCCCCCCCAATAAACCTTTCTCAAAGTTAAATTAAAATAACAATGGACTGGAAACGGACGAAAACGCTCATCCTCTTCCTGAATGTCTGGACGGGCTTGTCTAAACACGAATGCTTTCAGCAGGTGCCAAACAGAGGGTGGCAAAGGCTCAAGTGGCGGGGAGTTCCAAAGGGGAGATGCTGCCACACGGGAAGATCTGTGTATTTACAAATGCAGAAGGGGGTGTTAGGTGGCAGTTTGGAATGGGATGCTGTTTGGAGGGGAGACCAGAGAGAGGCAAAGCTGTCATGCACATGTGGGGGGGGGGATGCAGGTGAGGCGTTCCGGGATCAAGGAAACCGGAGCGAGAGAAAGAGACCTGTTTTGGTACCAGAGGGCTGGGAGCCAGCTGGCACAGCCTGGCTCATGCCGGGACTGACTCAGGGTTGCTCTGCCGTGCCCTGCGGGTGCCGAGTTCCAGAGCCGCTCTCCATGGTTGTTGTTTAGTCGTTTAGTTGTGCCCGACTCTTCGTGACCCCATGGACCAGATCACGCCAGGCACTCCTGTCTTCCACCGCCTCCCGCAGTTTGGTCAGGCTCATGTTTGTAGCTTCAAGAACACTGTCCAACCATCTCATCCTCTGTCGCCCCCTTCTCCATCTTCCCCAACATCAGGGTCTTTTCCAGGGAGTCTTCTCTTCTCCTGAGGTGGCCAAAGTCTTGGAGCCTCAGCTTCAGGATCTGTCCTTCCAGTGAGCACTCAGGGCTGATTTCCTTCAGAATGGATGCGTTTGATCTTCTTGCAGTTCATGGGACTCTCAAGAGTCTCCTCCAGCACCATAATTCAAAAGCATCCATTCTTCGGCGATCAGCCTTCTTGATGGTCCAGCTCTCACTTCCATACATCTCCATTGAGGCGTGCGCTATGTGTCCGTGGGGTTTTCCCTAGGGCTCGGTTCACGACTTCCAGCTCTCTTGCTGCCCCCACCCCTGGAAAGGGGCAGCATTCAGGCTCTGCTGCTGCTGCTGAGGACCACCCAGGGACTGGCACCCCTCCTGCAAGTCTGCTGCTTGCGCTGTTCTCTGGCACCCAGGAGCCCACTAAGGCTGCGAGGGAGGCTCCAGGGCTCGTGCAGAGGGCTCCCTGCGGGCTTTGGCCTGGCCCTCCCTCCCCTGTTCTCCGCCACGGTCTCTTGGGCGCCATTCCCAGGTGACACCTGAAACGGGGTTTTGTGTTTCCGCTGCATGTGCGCGCCGGTGGGCGCCCCCGCGCGCATTCTCCCTCTCTGAGCACAGCAGAACGTGCGCGCATCCAGGTGGAAGATTCAGGACAGGGGAAGGAGAGAACTTTTCCCCGCAGCGCAGAGTTGGAACTGTGGAACTCCCCGCCACAGGACCTCGAGGGCTGGAAAAGAGGATGAGGCCCATTCATGGAGGAGGAGAGCGATATCAATGGCCCCTAGACAGGATGGCAATACTCTGGAAACCACGAGAGGAGAGTGATTCTCTTTTAGAATCATAGAATTCTATGGGACTCAGCTTGCTTTTGGAATTACAGTCGTACCTCTGGATGTGAGCGGGATCCGTTCCGGAGCCCATTCGCATCCTGAAGCCAATGCAACCTGCGTCTGCGTGGTTCGCGATTTGCCACTTCCACGCATGCACGTGACGTCATTTTGACCGTCTGCGCATGCGCGAGCAGCGAAACCCGGAAGTAACATGCTCCATTACTTCTGGGTCGCCTTAGAATCATAGAATCATAGAGTTGGAAGAGACCTCAAGGGCCATGGAGTCCAACCCCCTGCCAAGCAGGAAACACCATCAGAGCACTCCTGACATATGGTTGTCAAGCCTCTGCTTAAAGACCTCCAAAGTAGGAGACTCCACCACACTCCTTGGCAGCAAATTCCACTGTCAAACAGCTCTTACTGTCAGGAAGTTCTTCCTAATGTTTAGGTGGAATCTTCTTTCTTGCAGTTTGGATCCATTGCTCCGTGTCCGCTTCTCTGGAGCAGCAGAAAACAACCTTTCTCCCTCCTCTATGTGACATCCTTTTCTATATTTGAACATGGCTATCATATCACCCCTTAACCTCCTCTTCTCCAGGCTAAACATGCCCAGCTCCCTTAGCCGTTCCCCATAAGGCATCGTTTCCAGGCCTTTGACCATTTTGGTTGCCCTCCTCTGGACACGTTCCAGTTTGTCAGTGTCCTTCTTGAACTGTGGTGCCCAGAACTGGACACAGTATTCCAGGTGAGGTCTGACCAGAGCAGAATACAGTGGCACTATTACTTCCCTTGATCTAGATGCTATACTCCTATTGATGCAGCCAAGAATTGCATTGGCTTTTTTAGCTGCAGCTCCTGTGCCCAGGCTGCCCCAGAGGCGTTCCAGTATCCTAGGCTCCTGCCGCCTGTTTCCGTCACTTGCTGCCTGCTGCACAGCCCTGTTTCTGCAGGAGAATCCGGCCCTCGGAGGGAGGGGGGCTGTTCGCTGCCCCCCCCCGAACAAGGAAGTTTCCCCTGGAGCTGTTTGGCAGGAGCAGCAGGAGGGAGGCGGGTTGGAGGGGCCCTGGGGGCTTTGCAAGCAGCCAGGTGGCTCACCGCACCTGAGGCACAGGTGGAGCAACTTGATTTATAGTGGGGCGGACCTGATCCGAGCCGGCCGGAAGGAGGAGCCTCACTGCGCAGGGGAAGAGGTGTTTCCTGACTTTGCCCTGGGATCACATAGCAACCCGCCTGCTTGGCTTGTCGGCCGGGCCTCAGGCTGCGTCTTCTCCACCAAGGAAGCGTCTTCTCTTCCTGTCCATCTTCTAGCCCACCTGTCAATCTCGAGAGAGAAGGGAGGGCACCTTTGGGGGTCAAGTCAAACGGCTGCGTTAGCATGCGCCACAAGACTGGGCAGCGTGTCTGGGCACCAGCTTGCAATAATAATAATAATAATAATAATAATAATAATTCATACCCCGCCCTTCTGGCTGGGTTTCCCCAGCCACTCTGGGCGGCTTCCAACTAAACATTAAAATACAATAATTCACCAGCTATTAAGAGCTTCCCTAAACAGGGCTGCCTTCAGATGTCTTCCGAACGTCAGATAGTTGTTTATGTCTTTGACATCTGGTGGGAGGGCATTCCACAGGGTGGGTGCCACCACCGAGAAGGCCCTCTGCCTGGTTCCCTGTAACTTGGGTTTTCACAGGGAGGGAACCGCCAGAAGGCCCTCGGCGCTGGACCTCAATGTCCAGGCTGAACGATGGGGGTGGAGACTCTCCTTCAGGTCTACTGGGCCTTTGAGGCCGTTTAGGGCTTTCAAGGTCAGCACCAGCACTTTGAATTGTGCCTGGAAACGTACTGGGAGCCAATGTAGGTCTTTCTGACCAGTGTTATGTGGTCTCGGCGGCCGCCCCCAGTCACCAGTCTAGCTGCCGCATTGTGGATTAGTTGTAGTTTCCGGGTCACCTTCAAAGGTAGCCCCATGTAGACCACATTGCAGTAGTCCAAGCAGGAGATAACGAGAGCATGCACCACTCTGATGAGACAGTCTGCGGGCGAGGAGGGTCTCATCCTGCGTACCAGATGAAGCTGGTAGACAGCTGCCCTGGACACAGAACTGACCTGCGCCTCCATGGACACAGTTCCCCTCTGTGCTGCTCAAATGAGAACTTTCCTCCATCTGTCCTGAATCTCCCATCATCTGTAGGTCTAGGCTTACAAGAGAGGGAGGAAAACATTTCTCTGTCTGCTTTCTCCAAGGCGTGCCCGTTTTAGAGATTTCTGAAATTAGGCCTGGCGTGATTCCCTTCCAGCCTTTCAAGCAGTTGAAACTGCTTGTTGTTGTGCATCTCGGGGGGGGGGGGAGCCCTGCTGCTGCTGCTGTGGCCCTTGGGCCCTTCCCACAAGCAGGGGGGACTGTAGGAGAGGAGGACTGGGACTGGGTGAGCCCCCCTTTGGTCTGATCCAGTGGCCAGGCTCTCCGGACGTCCTGATTTTCCTTCCCATTTTATGGAGGGACGAAAGGAGAGGTGGAGGTGGTGGTTTTGGGGTGGTGATGGAGAAAGACTCGCCTGAGGTCGTGCAGAGTGTCTCTGGCCAAAGTTGACGGGGGAGCCGTCAGGTCCAGTGCACAGCCGCTTCCTACGCTCCTCTCTGCCTTGACTGTGCAGCTGTTGTGCGGGTTTTAAGTTGCGAGGGTCCCTTTTCTCACCTGCGCGGCTCCAAGCAACTCTCCATGGTCCCACGCGATGCCTGAGGCCCAATGACCTAAAGCTTTCATCTGGTGAACTTTTGTTTGTTTTTTTGTATATAATTTTTATTAATTTTCCAATAAAAGCAAATTTATAACACAATTAAACATTAGGAATTCATCACACGTCTTTTTTCTTTTAGACTTCCATCAACATGTCTGATAATTTTCCGCAGTTATTGCATATCTTCACATTTCTTCATTTATATTGCACTATGTATATCTTATCTTACCATGTTATTTAAACAATATTTCTACCAAACCTTCTTACAGAGCTTCTTGGAAACTTACAAACGTTATATCATTATCACAAATATTTTTAATATATTCTGTAAATTTATTCCAGTCCTCAGTGAATCTTTGGTCCCGTCGGTTGCGAATCCTCCCTGTTCATCTGTCCAGTTCTGCATAATCCATTAATTCCGTTCTCCATTCTTCACTCGTGGGCATTTCTTCTTGTTTCCATTTCTGGGCCACAAGAGTTCTAGCTGCTGTTACTGCATACAAAAATACTTTCTGATCCTTCCTTTTTATCTCACCACCTAAAATTCCTAATAGGAATGCTTCTGGTTTTTTAACAAATGTATATTTCAATATTTTCTTTATCTCATTATATATCATTTCCCAGAAGCACATCTGGTGAACTTTTGGGAGATTTCTGTGTCCGAGTTGGAAGGGACCCCTAGCGGTCATCTAGTCCAACCCCCTTGCCAAGAGAAGAGGGGCTTTGGCGTCCCAGCTGCCCATGGAGGCATTTTGGGCCCTTTGAATGTGCAGCAGAGCCGGTGCGCAGGGAACTGGGCGGTTTTGAAGATCCTCTTGGAAAGCCCCAACACTCTCTGAGCAAGCCTTCAGGCTAAACCAAACTCTTCATCGGGATAGTAGGTCTTTGGAGCAAAAACCCCAAAGAGAAGCAGAGTTTGGGGGCAGTTGAGGGTGCTGGCTGTGCTTTGGCCGCTTCAGGGCGAAGAGGCAGGAAGGCTTTTTCGGTTGGGGGTGCTCCACATCCTCATTGGGCCAAGGAAGGCTGCCTTGCAAAGTCCACAGGTCTCTTGGGCACAATGTCACCTTCCCCTGGCAAGGATGGGAGGCAGGTGAGGGTCGGTTAGTTCCTTGTTTCTGTTGGGGGTTGTCGCCATGCTGGGAAGGGGCTCAGCCCCTGTTCCCTTCCTGGGGGCAGCAGAGTGGGGCCCTGATGTTTGTTCTGCAGGTTCATTCAGGGGCCACATTCATTATACTAATCTGCACAAAATATACTCTTTAAAAAAACACCATGTGCTGGTTTTTTGGGGGGGGGAGGAATGACAAATGCAATAAACCCCATTGGCTTCAGAACTATGTTTTCTCACACCCAGTAAATAAAAGCAATCATTTCAAAACATTCTTTCAAAAAGCAATTGAGACAGTCATTACAGTGGTGCCTCTAGTTGTGGACGCGATCCGTTCCGGGGTGCCGTTCACACCCTGAAAAGCCCGCAACTAGAGCGGTGCTTCTGCGCAAGCGCGGAGCGCGATAGAGAGCTTTTCCTCATGTGCAAAGTGCGCAGAAAGCTTCTGTGCATGCGAAGAAACCCAGAAGTATACACATTCGCAAGCCGAAAAGACGCAACATGAACCTAGCGCAACACGAGGTATGACTGTATAGCAGTGCACTAGCAAGGGCTGAGAAAAGCATGATTTGAATCAAATTCCTTCATTGGCAAGAGCTGGACTAGATGATCCTTGGTGGTCCCTTCGAACCCCTACAATTCTGTGATTCCATGAAAATCCTGCCCTTTGTTGGTCTTTCTGGTTGGTGCCAGTTGAATGTCTTTTTCCTCCTTTGATCTTGTGAATAGTGAAATTTCCACCATTTAGAACTTTACCTCTTAACACTCTCTCCCCCCTCCAAAAAAACCCCGGTGTGGCAGGATAAGTGTGTTCCTGTATGCCCTTGTGCCCTGAGCGTCACCTTGCTGACCCACAACCTCACCTGGGCTGATCTCTCTCTTTTAAAAAAAAATATTTGTATGCAATTTTCTTGAAAGTAACAACAAAAAAAAACACAATAACAAATACAACAGCAACGAAAAATGTACACAAAAACAATATCAAATCCATGAAATGGGATTCTCTGAATCCTGTGACACCCCCCTCCCGTTCCTTAAATTTTCTTTTCAACTGCATATCATTTCCATTGCAAATTATTTTTTACCTCAAATTTCCTAGACTATCTCTAAAATTACAAGTGTTCTTAAAATCCTGCCAATGTATTAACCTTTTTACGATTCTTTTGCAGGTACATCATTTGAACATTTCCCGTTCTTCTTTAAAATTTCTTGTCTTCTTGATTTCTGAGCTTTCCAGTTACAGTCCTACCTCGGGTTACAGACGCTTCAGGTTGCGTTTTTTCAGGTTGCGGACCCGCCGAAACCCGCAAGTACCGGAACGGGTTACTTCCAGGTTTTGGGGGTCGCGCATGCGCAGAAGCGCTAAATCGTGCTTTGCGCAGAAGCACCGAATCGCAACCCGCACGTGCGCAGACGCGCCGCTGCGGGTTGCGAACGCTGCAGGTTGCGAACGTGCATCCTGCACGGATCACCTTCACAACCCGTGCGTCCACTGTAGTTTCGCCATTTCAGCATAGTCCATTAACTTGGTTTGCCACTCCTCTCTGGTCGGGACGGCTTCCTCTTTGCATCTTTGGGCTAAGAGTATCTGGGCATGAATAATTTCTTCTGGTCTTTTGGAATCTCCACTCCTACCTGTGGTGACCTCTCTCTCTCCCTCCCTCTCTCCAGCAGGGTGAAGAGGACCCTGATGAGAACCGCAGTAAGGCGGAGAGGCCAGACGCAGGGATCCCCGCCAGGAAAGCCGGCCGTCCCGGAAGGAAGCGCAGGCAGCCAGTGGTGAGTGGGGGCCCAGGAGCCGTTGGGGGGCAAGGGTGACCGGGCACAGATGGAGCTCTTGCGCTTGCGGGTTCCCATAAATGCCGGTCCAGGCACGGTGGCCGGGGCTGGCAGAAGCCTCCGTGGAGCAGGTTTTGTGTGCTTACTCTTGAGGAAGGATCCAGGAGGTGGCATTGGCTGAGTTACACAGCAGGGGAGCTGGGCGTTCGGCACTTCATCTCCCGGTTCTGAGAGCAGCAGGGGATCAGGGCTCCTTAGAGTAGACCCGTGGTTTCAGCTGGTGCGGGAACCAGGCCACGGAAGGAAGGAAGAGAAAGTCCCTCATTCTTGGGCGTCTCCAAGAGCCGCAGATCCACGTGTGCACCCGCAAAGCGCACCCTCTCCTGCCCTGCCCTCTCCTGCTGCAAAGAATACGGCTCCCAGCGACATCCCTCTCTGGAAGCGTGGGCATGCGCAGACATGCCCGTCACCTCTGGCACAGCGCACAAATGCTCCAGTGAATCCGCTCCTCCAGGGGATGTGGAAGGAGCGGTTTTGGACGCCTCGGCTGCTTCGAGTGAAGGAGCTTCACGTTCTTGGCCTCGTAAACGGGAGTTCAGGAGAGGCGCCGTCTGCGAGACGCTTTCCCGTAGACACCGCCAGGCGCACGGGATTCCGCTCTTGCCCGATGGTTTCCTCGCTGGGCAAGGTTAGAAGCGCCCTTTTGACCCACACAATCTCCCCAGGGGGGATTCCCTTTGTAAGAGGAACGGCTGGAAGACCCCCTTCTCTCCCCCCCCCGAAGAAGTCCAAGTGCTGAGATCTCTTTCGGAAGTTAGGCTGGCGTCTCCCGAGGATGGAGCCTTCTCAGTGCTGGCCCCCCTGGCTGTGGAAATGGCCCTGGGGATTTCTTCTGTGCGGGAATTTCTTTTGCCAGATGGGACGGGGATTCTTCAGTCGCGGTCCCTGCCTTGCAGAGGGCTGGACTAGGCGATTCGTGGGGGCCCCTTCGAACGCTGTGCTTCTTGGTGTCTCATCCGTCTGCAGCAGAGTGTTCCCAGGGTCCAAATCTATCCAGCTTTACATCCTATATTAAATCAGTGTTTGTTTTGCATGCGCTTTTAACTGAAATGTGCTTGACGCTGGCTGCTCCTTCTCGGTTTCATTGCGGTTCTTGATAGCTTGTGTTGTCGCCTGCTGTTCGTTGTTTGATTTCTCGTATTGATTTTATGTGTGTGTGTGTATTTGAAACCACGTCTGTGTTTTAATCTCTGTACGTTGCTTTCCAAATTGCAATGAGCTGGCTGACTTGGGGGGAGAGGCCTGAGGGGTCAGTTGCAATTGCTTTTGCTCGCTTGTTGGAACTGCTTTGGAAACGTGTGAACTGGTTTTTAAAAAATGTACCTGCCTAAATGCGGAAAGGGGGTGTGCTAAGGATGGATTCCCCCCCCCCCGTTTAAACAAACATTTTGTTTCATTTTTATTTTTTAACATCTTTATTGAAAATTCAAGAAGTACATAATTATACGTGCACTGAACATGGAGAGAATAAATAAAAGAGAGAAAAAAGAGAAGCAGAAGGGAAAATAAAGTGGGGAGGGAGAAAAACTCAAAACTCTGTAATTTACAGAGTTGTTATTGTACTTCACCAGATCTTAACCTATTACAGTGTTTGTAAGAATGGATTCCAAATATCGCTGAATTTGTCCATGGCAAACCTGCGTTGATTTGCAAGCTGTTCATATGTTGTGAGGTTGTATACGTCTTCAACCCAGTCATAGGCGGGAGCAGCATTTTAATTTTTCCAGTTCATCAGGATCCGTCTTATTGCCATGGTAAAGGCACGGAGGAGAATCCACTCGTATTGTCCTTTTGCAAGGTAGCATGTGCTGGCTGTATAATTCAAGAGGATGTTTTGCTCTGTCAGTGTAAGGTTGTTCCGTACAGTTCTGTTGAGAGTTTGAGTTACCTTCTGCCAAAAACCTTTCAATATAGGACAATGAAAAAACATGTTTTAGAGAAGCGTTATCCCTGTTGCATCTTCAACAGTTAGATACCTGAGGTAGCCCTTTTTAAAACCAAACGTAATGGGGTCCAGTATATTCCAAATATTATGAGCCTCCATTTAAGGTCCAGAGACACCCTTGTTATAGCAGTTAAGACGTGATGAGCCTTTGGACAGCGGAACGGTCTCCCTCGGGAGATGGTGAACTCTCCTTCCCTGGAGGTTTTTAGCAGAGGTTGGGTGTCCATCTGTCCTGGGTGCTCCAGCTGAGATTCCTGCATCTCGGGGTTGGGCTGGATGACCTTGGGGGGTCCCTTCCAGCTTTGCAGTTCTCTGGTTCTCTTTCTCTTGCGCTGCCTATGGGAGATCTTCCGCTGTTTCTCCCTTGTGGGGCTCTGCTTTGGGTCCTGCCAAACATCCCAGACATTTATTGGGGGTGGGGGAGGCCTAGGTCCTAGTTAAGCACCCACAACAGGTGGGGTGCCCAGCCCCTCGTCCTCCCCCTCTTTTTTCCATATAATTTTTATTGAGTTTTCATATTTAATTACACCTCATTACACAAATCTATAACATAAAGCATTGCTCAGACAGAGCATCGACTTCCTTCCCCGCCCCCCTTTCGGACTTCCAAACATTTTTTACTAAATTCTCGCATTTCTATAACCACTTTTTTACCTTAGAGCTGCTTCTTTTTTATGACAATTACCTCTTTATATGTAAATCGGATCCTTATTTTCACATTACAAAACATTTCAATTTAAGCCTACAAACGTTTTCGAGTGTTTACAATTTTCTTTCATATAAGATATAAATTCGCTCCAGTCCTTTTGAAACAGATCGTCTCCTGATTCCGGATCTTCCCCGTCAGCTTTGCCATCTCCACATATTCTACCTGCCAGTCTTCCAATGTAGGAAGTTCCTGCTGCTTCCATTTCTGGGCCAGGAGTATTCTTGCAGCCCTTGTGGCGTGCATAAACAAACTTACATCTCTGAATTTCCTCTCCGATTAACCCTAACAAAAATGCCTCTGGTTTCTTATTAAAAGTGTCCTGCCCCTCGCAGTGATCTCCACGGGGCGGGGTCTCCTGGTTCTGGGAGCCCCTGATCCAGCTGAGCACTGTTGGGGGGCACATGGGAACACCTCTTCCTGGCTGTGGGGCTCCTTCCTTGCCCCCCCCTTCAGCTCTGCCCCCTCTGCCTTGTGGAGCTGCAACCTGATTCTTGGCTGCGTCTGCTGCCAGGGCAAGCGAGGAGCAGAGTTGGCCCCCGGCCACACGCCTGGGAAGGGCTGTTCCCCCAGCGCTGCGTCCTGCTTCCTGAAATTGGATCGGGCCCGGCAGGGCGAGGGGTCTACCCGGGGCAGGCAGGCAGGCAGGCCGGCCAGGTTGCTTGGAGGGCTGGTGGATGGCGGCCAGGCTGCTGTCTTGCTGCCGCCAAAGCAGGGGCCAAGCAACAGAATGGTTGCAGCTGCTTGGCTGAGTCCCCAAAATCCTCGTGGAGTTAAAGGGCCAGCGCTCTCTGCTGCGGATGATGCGGGGTGAGGGAGGGAGGCCAGGAGTGGGGTGTGCACGCTCAGCCCCCTCTGTGGAGCTGGCCTGCCCTGCCCCACATTCTTGTATATAGCAGCCAGACGCAGCCCGCGGTTGGGGCGTGTGCTTGTGGCTTTGTGCGTGTGGAATTTTATTTTACAGCCTTTATAAATGCCAAGGAGCTCAAGGTGGTTCCCCCTTCCTCGTTTTCTCTCCGTGCAACAACCTGCCTGTCAGGTAGGCTTGGAAACAGCGGCTGGCCCAACGTCACAGCCCGCGAACGTCACAAAGTGCATTTGGACCCAGGTCTCAAGCAGAGACATCGCCTTGCCGACAAAGGTCCGTATAGTTCAAGCTCTGGTTTTCCCAGTAGTGATGTATGGAAGTGAGAGCTGGACCATAAAGAAGGCTGATCGCCGAAGAATGGATGCTTTTGAATTCTGGTGCTGGAGGAGACTCTTGAGAGTCCCATGGACTGCAAGAAGATCAAACCTCTCCATTCTGAAGGAAATCAGCCCTGAGTGCTCACTGGAAGGACAGATCCTGAAGCTGAGGCTCCAATCCTTTGGCCACCTCATGAGAAGAGAAGACTCCCTGGAAAAGACCCTGATGTTGGGAAAGATGGAGGCCACAAGGGGAAGGGGACGGCAGAGGACGAGATGGTGGGACTCGAAGCCATGAACATGAGTTTGACCAAACTGCGGGAGGCAGTGGAAGACAGGAGTGCCTGGTGTGCTCTGGTCCAGGGGTTCACGAAGAGGCGGACATGACTAAACAACTCAACAACAACAACTCTCCCAGGGACTAAGCCCCCGCAAGAACCCAGAAACCCGCTTTGAATTATCAGGCAGCTGGAATCATTTCAGCCAAAGGAGGTCCTGTGGAACTTCTAGCCACAGGATTTTGTGGCAGCCACTTAGAAAGGAAGAGATGGATACTTGAGCAGTAGCCATTAACCATGATAGCCAGTAGCTTAACTCTCATGGTTAGAGGCTGGGGGACAATCAATGCACCCTTGCATTTAAGCACTCGCCTGGTCGCCAGAGGTGAGCAGAAGTGGCAGGCAGGCGACCACACGGAATGCCATGTGGGCGAGTGAGCGACTGGACTGGCAAGGTTAGGTGGAGCATTCCACTCCTCCTGTGCCCCCTCCAGCATAGTAACCAAGCAGGCTGCAAGGGGGACTGAATTCTCCTCCCCCTTCGCTAGCCCCCCGCAAACTGCTAGCATCTTGGAGCTCCTATAGAAGGCTGGGGATGAATATCGCTCTCGCCTCTTGGTTGGTATCACCTGCTTCCTCGTGCAGCACCTGTGGAACTCTCTCCCACAGGAGGCAGGGATAGCCACTAAGCTGGATGGCTTGAAAAGAGGACCAGTTCACGGAAGAAGATCTTGTGCTTGGATACTGCTTGTGGGCTTCAGTTGTTCAGCCACTGTGAGAACAGGATGCTGGACTAGAAGAGTCACTGGTCGGATCCAGCAGGCTC